TAAAAACGTTCCTTATACCATACATTGATCTCAATATTCCTGTGTTTGAAATTCCTGTAAGACGAATATAAAAGTTTTAAACACGATCAAAATAAGAGAGGGTTTATGAGATAAAGTCATTTGAGAAAACTAGACTATCTGTTTGTAAATACTTGTTCGCGTCGCTTTGTGAGAAAGATTCAAGAGCTTCTCCTCTATATATTACAGGCCGCGGTTAACTGGGATTCAGCGACGAAAATGAATGAAATAAATTATTTATTTACCAGTTGATGATCAACCAATTTAGCGGAGAGAAATATCTGCAATAAAAGCTGAATTAATGTGAAATACTTGGTCAGATAATCGTGCTCACATCGTAGTGAGCATGGCCCTAGGCTTAGTCCCCTAATACAGGAGAAAGGTTTTTTTTTGTAATTAAACAATCATTCGACAAGCTGTTTCCCCGCTTGCACAGGCATATTAGACTCACGGTGTAAAAAAATACACTAAGTTTCACCTGTTATCATTCGAAGCAACAGCAGAAACACGATCAGCAAACATCGCTTACAGTGCAGAAAAGGTTGAGCGCTGTGCACATCATGTTATTCCGTTTGTAAATATAGTAGTGACTTGAGAAAACGTAGACAAAGCGTTTTAAGTACAAACCTTCTTGGAAAAAACTTCTTCCCTAAACTGTCTCGCGATGACTTATAACATTCTGATCAGGACTTGCTCCGCCTTATATTTTGATAATGCTAATTTACGAGATCTCTTTTCTACTGATCTGTGTGACGAGGTCAATTTAAAAATCCTTTTATCATAGAAATTAAAGTCAGAAAACTTCTTCCAATTGTGGAAAGTCAACGACTTTATTTGTTAAGAGCTTTTCCCACACGCTTTTCGATTAATAAGGGTTTTCATTTTTCTGCGACAACATTAGCTAAATCCGTAAAGTGAGTGTTGTTTAAAATTCACAATTCAATTTATTTTCCAGCTATATTACCGCAAGCTATGACAGAAATTACTGTAAGAACACTGAATCGATTTGAAGTACCTGGTAACATAATCGTTTTCGCATCAGAGAGGTTATGCATGGCTTTGTGACATAAAAGTCGCCAACCAAATGTAGAGGAAAAAAACAAACGACGATGCAAGCTGCATAGTAGAGGTGTTTTCCTACTTTGACCGATTTCAACATGTTATCATCCGGAGTAATCATCATCCGGAGTAATAATAAAAACATGATCGGCAAACCTTACTTGAAAATGTAGAGAAATACTAAATCGCTGAGTGCACTATCTCGTAATGGAAATGTGACAGTTACTTGTGAAAACCTAAAAGAAGTATTTTAAGCACAAACCTTACTGAAATACTGCTTTCTTCCTTTGAGACAAACACCATTTTAACCAGACTTTCCACGCTTTACGTTTTGGCAGTAGGTGACTTTTAGTCTAGTATACTTGGCTCCAGCCTGAGGTCATTTTTTAATCGAATTCGAAGTATATCATTACCTTTCGAAGTTAACTTGGGGGTTATAATGAACAGCGGGCGCACCTGGTTTGAATAGTAACCTGTAACTTGGAAGTGTTAAACACACTTGGACTAAAACAAAATTCTGAATCTGTTATTTAAATCAGATCGCCTAAGATTTCGCTTAAAGTTTGACAGGCTGGATAAGTGTGAAATTTTTTTTTACTTTTCGGCTTAAAACATGTGGAAATTAATCCCGTTCTCTTTGAAATTAACCTAAAATTTTCAAAACTACCGAACTTAAAAATGTATCTTTCTATCTTTCATTATGGTCTTCAGTTCTCAGTTTGAGGTCTTTCCGAGATAAGAATTGTCGCCTACGTTACAACAAAAAGAATAATTCAGAATAATAGCACCCATTATGGAATGAAAGTTTAGAATTGACGATAACAATCATTAACACGGAAACATCCCACGTCCGCTTTAAGTCTTCAAATAGAATATTTTTCTGTCACCTTCTCCATACAAAATTATAATGACAAAGGGCATGTGCAAAAAAGCTTTTTGGACAGTAAGTCAGCTCTTGAAAGAGAGGGAAACAAACTTTATCATCAAAAACAATGGATTTTCCCAATGTATTTTTCAACACTGAGATATAGAGCAGTTGTGTAAAACCTAGGTGTGTGCAAAAGCCAATTAGAGTTAGAGCTTTCGTAGTATTCGTCCGTTATGAGACAAATAATACTTTACTTTAAATTAAAGCAATTAGCTTGAGGGAGATTTTGATCACCATAAAATTAGTTTCGTTGAATAAAAAGTAAATTGGACATATGAGCTTGCTTGCCGTTGAAACCTAGACACAGATTGTTTCAGATTCATTAAAATATCAACAAAGATGCTAATTAAGCGAGTGTATGTTTAGGTAACCATTCCTCCTAAGAGCAAGTCGTAAGCCTTACGCTCAAAAAAGCTACCGAGTTAGCAACGACAGAAACGGAAGCGATACAAATCATACTTTTCATATCACTTTTCGTAATGATGCTACTTTGTCTCGTCCCCTTTGAAAATCTAAACACTAGAAATATTGTAAAATACTTGTTAAAAAAATCATTTGTATGACGCGGCATTCCACCTTTTCAAGCAAAATCGTTAAGAATCGCACTCAAAGTCCCGTTTGTGAATACAGATGTTAGCTGTGTGATTTGTGAATACAAGATGTTAGCTGTGTGAATTGTGAATACAAGATGTTAGTTGTGTGAATTGTGAATACAAGATGTTAGCAGTTTGGTCCTCTATCGCAGAAAGATTCTACTTAACATACGATCTTGAGCTATTAAATATATTTTTTTCTTCACCCTTTAAAATCGGCAATCAGAAAAACGGGTTAGATGTTAACGTTCAAACTTGGTTTCAGGTTCATTTTTGTTAGAAAGCTTTATGTGGCAGCCCGAGTGAACATTTTTTATTGATCTCTGAGATCAAGTTATTTTTGTACATTTACTGGCTTCACTGCAGGTGATTATTAAAGCAACCACGGGTTCATTTATTAAAGTGTTCTTCTTCCGAAATATCGAAAATTACATTGCTAAGCGATCAAATTGAAATTTTAAGTTCAATGTGATATTCATCCTATTAGTAATGATTGAAATCAATGTTCAGTGTGATATTAATCCTGTCAGGAACGTTTATGACAAGATATAACTTTAACACTGACCAATCAGAGCGCGTGTATTTCAATCATACTACTATCCTTTTGCTACTTAAATCACTTTGCGAGATGAGTACACCAACTTGCATTACTGACGTTTCAGGATGTAGAGATTAATGTTCTATGCTGGTTGTAGAGATAATTGGGATTATGAGTAAAAGTCCTACAAATAAAATTGCACTCAGAACTTTTATTGAGGTAACCTATAATGACGTCAGTCAGCTGACGCCAGAACTAGTTATGGTTGATTTTATGAATTGAATATCCAGATAAATTGTTGTTGTTGTTATTTGTTGAGGTATCGATCGAAGCAAAATGAAGGCCCCGGCTTGTCTTTGACAATACTTTGATGCTTGAAAAAGGGCTCTACTGTTCAAAAAGAAGAAAAAAAATTTGAATTTTGACGAAAAGGATCATGCTGAAGATAAAAAAAAACAAAAACAAAAAACAATGTTTTTCACGCATTGAGCCAATACTCCACATCCTCCCGTCTTGCACTCAACATTATTCAAAGATGTGTGGGAAAATGGCTGCTTTGTTTATGTAGGGTTAGGAAATCGATGTTGTTATGAAGAACAAATTCTGCGGGAGATAAAACTGTTCAGAAAAATCGATGACGTTTTTCATTTAGTGAGCGAGTACAATACACCTTCACGTCTTGTGACTTAACAATATTTTGATGTGTGAGGAAAACGGCTGTGTTGTTTATGTAGGGTTAGGACATTTTGTGGTTATGAAAACAAAAATCATGCGGGAGATAAAACAATTCAGGAAAATGGAGGGTGTTTTTCGGTCAGGAAGCAAATACAAAGCGTCAACATTCAAATCCTTCCAGTATATAAGTAAGTCGTTTATGTCATAAACCTAAATCCTGATAAGTGATTTAGCTACCACGAGTTCCCTATGATAGGCCGCATACAGTATTTCCATTAAATTAGCATTCAGCTGAAATCGGTTCGCAATATTTTGGTGTCGGTCTCCAGCGAAAACTTAGCAATGAATTATTTTCGCTGACCTCGTCTGACGATCGAAAAACAGCATGATGCCGCTGTTTTAAAGGACACCGGCTCGCATTTTAAGTACAATATCACTCAGTCGATATGGGCTCAATTTCCAAGCACTAGATCTCTCTTGAAGGCCGGAACCCCGTCACAGGCTTTAGAAACTTTAATTTGTATATTTCAAGCTCATTATTTACGAGGTGTGTTCTTCAATCCGGTTCCTTTCCCTCACCGCACCACTCCTGTTTGGTGTGCTCATCTCCCTGTTCACACTTCTCTTTTGAAGAAGACAATAATCAAAGGGCTTTATCTATAAAAGGACGATTCTCATCTATGTTTAAAGTGACATAACATAACGACGCGCACGCAGCTCTTTTTAATGCACTAGATCAGTCAGTTGATATAGGCTCAATTAACCAGATCTCGATCCATCTAACGTCATTCTTCGTTAGTGTAGTAAGGCTAATGCCCGCTATGCGTGGGCTAAAATCTATGGAGCAAGGTGGGTAAACTAACCACGATATTACTGCTATTTTTTTTTCGCGAAATGGTTCCCAGCAAGAGAAAACAGAAGGCCGTTATTCCAAGTGATCAATACCTTGTGATGAAGGTGCCTCCCTGCAAAGCGATGCGAGTAAATTCGTTGTCAAAAGCTGAAAAAATGAAAAAATGGTGTTAGTGGAAAATTTTTATTCAAGCTGTTTCATTCACTCTTCGTTGCTTGCGAAGTGCTGGATGTATCTGCTGAACGTCGGTGTTCCCTCCCCTCCCCTCCCCTAGACAAAAACTCTATCGTCCCATGGGACGCGTATAAAAGATACTTCCCAGTGTACCATCAAACTTTATTTATATCAACACATGAACGCGCTCTCTTGATCTCTTGTTTACAGAGTTTACAGACTGATTTTCGATTTTCCTGAGGCATTTTTTCTCACTATGGCTTTTTTCTGCCCCATGAGAATTCCAAGAAGACGAAGGAAACGTAAGTAGGCAATTCTAGCCGTAGGTCGAGTTTGAAAATCGTTTATGAGTTTTCTGTTTACACGCTGGTCCTTGCACCTTTGTCAATATCTTTGACAGGATATCGAGATGAAGAACAAAAAGACACCACTCGAAATGGAAATGCTAAGGGAAGGATCACAGGTAGCAATAGTGTGGACTCTATTGTGGATCTTAGAAAAGAAGAAGAGGATAACGAGATCGAATTTGAACCACGGAAGATGGTTGTGCTTCATGATTTTATACCCTGCGTCGAAGATGAGGTCGCGGTAAAGCGCGGTCAGCATGTCAAAGCTCTTTACCAAGAAACAGACTGGATCTATGTCATAATAAATGATGGAAAGGAAGGTTTTATACCATTTACGTACTGCGTCCCAGAGGAGGAATACGAAAAGCGGAAAGAGAAGCAGAAAGGGCTCCAAAGGAATAACTTTCGAAACGCTTCGTTTCTCGATTCTTTGCATGTGCAAACAGATAATACACCGTCGTATAATTTTAAGAAAGATGATTTTGGTGATTACATCGTCAGATTTGAGTTTATTGCCTGCGATGAGAACGATATTTATGCCAAGAAAGGAGATAGAGTTCGCGTTTTAAACAAAGATGACAAGGATTGGTATTGGGTCTCAAAGAAGGATGGTGTTGAAGGATTTATTCCTAAAGATTTTCTTGTTCCGCTGGACGGACTCGAAAATGGCGGTGGGTGCCTTACTTTTGTTTTCATAATCGTGTCAGTGATTTTCGAGTACCTTTGTACAATTGTAAGGGTCGATCATTGTGTGAATTTGTGCCGATTGAAGAGTGTTCGAAGCTACTTTCTAGAGGGCGCGCGCGCGGTGGGAGACATAATTCCGAACCTACTTGACTAGATACCAACGTTTCCAATAACATCGCTAATGTGTATCATGATCACTAAATCGCATTTCGTTAAGTTCTTATAAACAAATGTTAGGTCTCAGTTAACTAAGAAAACATTTCTTTCGGAGATCAAACCTTAATGATTAGTTAACTTAATTTATTTACCATGTTTCTGAGAGAATTTCGTCTCAAACAGTGTTGGCTAATTTTATGCTATCGAGCTTTCATTTTCCTTCAGTGGAAGCGAAAATTCTTGTCATGGTCAATTACTGAACTTTTAATTGATAATGTGTTATCACTCTCGGTTCAAAGCCGTCAATAAGGGTAATTTATCTGTACAATACTATTCTTGACAAAATGAGGCACTTGCTTGAATTTCTCTCAAGATTGGTGTCAACACTTCATTGATTTAGAATATTATTTCCAACAAAATTTTAGTAATTCACTTTCGTCTTTTTTTTTTATCCTCCTTGCTTTGACATTCTTAGCCTCTATCCTACCTTATTACTCAAACCATGTTAACTCGTCTCATGCAGATGGAAAATAAATTGGTGTTTTAAGGACAGGAGTTAACCATTACTTAGCACAACATGTTCTTAAATGTAATTCATCAGGCTGGAAGTCAATTGGCCAAATTTTTATTCTGCTCAAAAAGTCAAAAAAAGAAGTAGTTAATATCCAGCCATTATAACATAACAAGCTTGTCACAATTTTTTGATGAAATATGTTTCCTGTGGATGAAATTCAAGCAAAGAAATGATTCTTGCACTGTCAAACTAAAGCAAGAATATTCACAGGCTTCTTTTCTGCAATTTTGGATAAATTGCAATCCATTGGCAGGGATCATGAGCTAATGAGCCAGCTTTATTTAAAGATCTTTATTACACAAAATGTCTGTTTGAAAACTCCTGGTGGCTTATCAAGCTAGTTGTCTTTCAGCTCATCATTTTTTATGAGAGATGGTTTGATTTTAGTCTCTTACTGGGGTATTGATCCCTCGGAATAATTGCCTTCTACTTTCTCTTGCTGGGAACTATTTTACAAAAGAAAAATGAACAGTAATAGTGTGGTTAGTTTACTCACCCATCTGCGTCAATAGATTTTAACCCATGCATAGCAGGCATAAGCCTTACTATACTAACAAAGAATGACCAAGAGAGGTCAAGATCTAGGTAATTGAGCCTAGATCAACTGACTGAGTTGTTGTAAAATGAGAGTTCTGGGACAAGACAGGTACTAAGGATAAAAAGTGTTCTTAGACAAGTAAGGACAAGTAAGAGCAAGTAAGAACAAGTAAGCTGACTTCTTTGTTGATAGAGGTTACTGTAGGGAGTGCAAGACAAGGAGTTATTGTATTGAAAACCTGTCATGACATTGCTTTTCTTTTCATTAAAATGTCTGACAAGTGCTTCTATTTTTCTAGATTTAAGTCCATCAACTGTTCAAAATCATTTGAATGGTGGCAGAAGAATATCTGAGACCCGAGTTTCGCCATTGTCAACACAAGTTGGAAGCCCTTACAGAATAACAACACCAGATTCCAACAGGTCAACAAAAAGTACAAACTCATCCTCAGAACCTTTGTTAATCACTCCTTCCTCTAGCCTAAATGGCTACAGCCTTGTCACTCCAAACAATAAGACAGAAGCATACCACCAACGTCGTAGCACTAACGAGCTTTTGCTTTATGGACAAGAACTTGTCTGTACTGATACCTACATAGCTAGAAGGATGGATGAACTTACTGTAAATAAAGGTGATTGGATTTATGCTGACATGAAAATCAAAGATGCAAGGGGCTGGATTTGGGCATACTCACCTTCAAACAAAACACAGGGCTATGTCCCCAAGTCGTGTGTAAGACCACCAGCAACCACACCTCTTTGATTAAAATTCAGGTAGTATCGTTTTTGTGCATCTTTAGGATAAAATAACTGGGACTATTTTAGACTATTTTAGAGACAAAAAGTACAGACTACTATTATTGTGAAATTGTCAGGATGTGCAGCAAACACACTGTGTCAATACATTTTAAATGTTCTTGAAGAAAGACCATATTGATTTTTCAATGAATCTGATTTGAATGTTTTATATACATATATGATATATTAAGCGTAATATGTAAAGGGAGAATGAATATTTTATGAATTTAAGGAATTCACTTGGAAGAGACCTGTACTTGAAATATTCTGGATGTTAGTCTAAAGTCAATTTGAGCCCTTTCATCCGTGTGACAGTGATAGGATAGTGCACTCTAGGAGACTGGTAGACTTGCTGGAAACTAGTGTTAAGGATTTGTCACCATGGATTTATTAACCTTAAGACATGGTACCAAACAATTGAAATGTTAAAAAGACAAAGGCTAAGAAGCCACCCTCATTGTGATTATTTTTTGGAACTCCTCTGTGCAGGGTTTTATCTTCCACCCAGCTCCTCTTTTTGTAGTTCTTAAAGAATTTCTAATGAGTCACAAGTGATAAAGAGTCAAAGTAATCCTTGCCATGGAAAAAGATGTTTACTAGTAAGTTTTTATAAATATTTTTGAAGATTCCAGAGACATCTATAGTCAAATGTGTACTAACCCTCAGCACTGTTAGCCAGTGATTAAAAAAGATCCAATATGAGGAAAAGGTAGTTTCTAACCCTTTCACTCCCAAGATCTCATTGGCTAGTCTTCTTATTTTACGCCATGCAACTCATATGATGTTAGGTTGGAGAATTTGGTATTGGATTAGTTAATTACCCCCCAATCAATAGTTTTCTTTATTCTCATTGCTTGTCTACTTGATATTGTATCGATATTGTAAGGAGAAATTCTGTCTCGGTCCCTCATGGGAGTTCAAGGGTTAAAGACAATAAGCTTCAAAATGATTTAAGCAAAGTTTTGAATTTTTGTTAATGTAAGGAATCATTTAGTCGGTGGCTAGGTTTTTAGGCACCCGAGTTGTCACATGATTGTTTTGTTTTCATGATTTGCACATAAGTATTAAATCGTTAAATTTCTTGCAGTGAGTGAGCCCATTTTATATGCATTGTGTATGTAGCTTGTTGATTCTTAGCCAATTGGTGTTAATTTCATTATATGACTGAGTAACTTTTTATTAGCAAGTATTTACAGTAGATGCAAACTAGTGTACTCATTAAATATTATTGAGCTAAGAAGGTACTCACAGATTCTGTATTTTCAGACAGGCAAACTGCAGTATTTATATAAATTTATGAGGAATTTTATTAAAGTATTGTATTTATTAAGATATGGCTGTACTCTCTATGCATATGCCTTGGTGACTAATGTAAGATAGGCAGTCCCTGATAACAAATGCATATGAAAAAGTTAGAGTGGCTACCTAATTGTACTTCTGGGGCCAGTTGTGCTTCTGGGGCAGTTGGGTTTATTTCAGGGTTCAAAACTGCACTTGCTTGGATTTTTCTTGTATAAAGGTGTTTTTGGGGCCAATTTGCAGTCCTCATTTTGTACTCCTGTGGGGATTTCTTCCTGAAAGCAAGCCTCTGCTCTAGATATTTCAAGGGACCCTAAATAACAGGAAAACCTTCAACCTGCTCCAACGTTTTCTAGGAGGATGTTTCAGAGATGACCCTGTAAAACTTGCATGTAAACGAAGCTGCTTCATGAAATATCTTATTCACTAGGGACAAAATAGCACCGAACAGTATAGTCAAGTCTTGTATGAAAAGCACTTTTTTTTTTTTACAAAAACTACACTAGGCTTGTATTCAACGCTTCTCCTCTAATCGCAAAGTCAAATGCCGAGAAACTTAAAGGACTTCTCAATCTTTTTACCTGTTTCTTTGCTAATCACCCTCGTTTCCAGGTGATGCTCGTGATGAGGAAAATAGAGGTCTGAAAACTAATTTGATACAAAGAAAGCAAACTGTCAGACAACCTGTCCCTGACTGTAACTATTTATAAAAAAATTCCTTTTAACGACCGCTTCATCGATTCGCATATTTCTCTCAATTGAAGGTAAGTGAGTATTCTCACCATTGTTAATCGATCCGCAATTGCTAAACTCGTTTCTCTGACAAACACAAAACTGTCAATTGAATGATTGAATGAATGAAATTTGCATATTCGTCAGCACCTGTTCGGTTCAAAAAAGGACTGAAAACAGATTTAGTGGAAAAACAAAACCTTGCAGTCTCAACGCGATCGTTCATCTGTCTTCTTCTGTATTTACACATTGACACTAAGTACAAACATGAATTCATTTTAGGAAATGCTGGCGCCTGAAGAATCCATCGAAGAATGCAAAGAAGCATTTTATCTTTTCGACCGAAGGGGAGACAAGAAAGTTGAATGTAGCCAAATCGGAGAAGTCATGCGGGCTCTCGGAACGAATCCGACAGAAAGCGAAATTTCAAAAATTATTCGTAATCTGGATACTGATAGTACTGGTGTAAAGCGAGTTAGCTTCGAAGAATTCTTCCCATTTTATCAAAATCTGCTTGATCGGCAAAAGAAAAGTGGAGGTAAGCTGTATAATATAAATTTAATTGCTTTCTTTCTTCGCTTGTCTGTAGGCTCGCTTTTATTATGGCTTCATGGAACTTAGTTTGCGTTTTCCTTTTAAGGATCTAAAGGCAACGATAGTATATACGAGGTCTGAAACAGAAACCAATTTTAAAACACAAACGCTAACATTTAAAAGGTGACAGTGATCTGTTTTATTGTTAAATTACTCAAAGTACTTTGCTGGATCAAGCTACATCGCAGATCCAACACATGATTTGCTTTAGGCATATAGTTTTAAATGAGTTTAAGATAACTTATTTCAAACAAAACGATAAGAAGTAAATATGAAAGCGATCTCCGCAGTAATGAACACTACTTAAGCAGCAGAAGTGAAAATAGAGCTTGAAAAAAATCAGGCCTCGACGGGAGTTGAGCCCATTACCTCTGCGATACCGGTGCAGTGTGTTGACAACTGAGCTAACAAACCTACTGGGAGCTGGTCATTATGTTGGTCCCAAATAAACCCGTGAAGTGATGTATAAATGACTGTGAATATATATGAAAATCATATATGTGAACTGCGCATAAAGAATCGAATATGAAAGCGATCTTCGCAGCAATGAGCACTACTTAAGAAGTGGAGGAAATAAGGCCTAATAAAAAATCAGTACTGCTTACGTAATGCTCATTATTGCGAAGACCGCTTTCATATTCACTTCTTTATACACAGTTCACATCATGATTTCCACAAATTCACAGTTATTTAAAACAATAAGACTCATAGCTCATTCAAACCAAAAATAAAAGCTGTTTCGCAAAACACGGTTAAAGTTGCCGACTTCAAATTTAGCCGAATGAAAATAAACACTGGTGATCATTGGAACCTTAGGTAAAATTCAGTTCTTCAGCTTTCTGTTTCTGATTTTCATTCAGCTAAAACTGGTTTAGCGAAACATGTTTCCTGGTATGAATGGGGTAAAAAAATTTTGACTCCCTCAGGAAGACTGACTGATAAAGAACTTACTAAAAATCTTTCACGATAATTTTCGAGTTTAATTCGCATTGTATCTTTCCCTTTCCAGTTGATCCGGAGCACTTTATCGATTGTCTTCGAGTCTATGATCACAACTGCAACGGGCTCGTAAACGCCTCCGAATTACGTCAGTTGTTACGCTGTCTGGGTGACAAGTTGACAACCGAAGAGCTTGATCAACTTTTGCTTGGGTTCGAAGATAGTGACGGCCTGATTTTGTACGAGGACTTTGTGAAACACATCATGTCAGGATAGAATCACGCGCAGCTGATCAAGAAAACATGTCTTTTTTTCTTCCCTCGTTGATGAACTTTAAACTTTATATTTAAGATGGTAGGAACCGAATAAAGTTTTTGTTAAAACAGACTCGCGATGAGTGAAGATTCCTCGGTATTTGTTAATTTACCACGAAGTTAAGGTAACCGTCTTGACTACAACTAGTCCCAAGTCAGAGGAGATCCAGGATTGGTTGGTGATTGGGGGGGGGGGGGGGGGGGGTTTAACCTTTGATTCAGAAAACACAAAGTATCTTCTTAAACCACAGCCTGAATAAGCTGAGAAATATTTCAAGACAGGTAAATTTCAAATACATTATTTTGAGTTGTAACCTGCCATTTTGTCGTTGCAAGAATTTTGGTGTTTAGCGAAAAAAAAAAAGGTCTAATGGGGGAGGGCACGGACCCCCGGCCCTTCCCCCTTGGAGTGCGAACGGTAACCCTGAGGGAGTCGAGAACAACAGCTGAGGAAGGGGTCATTTAAATGTTGGGATTATTCATGTTCACCAAGGTCAGCAGAATCGAAGATTGAAACGTCTTGGGAAGGAATGAAAAGCGAGAAGGAAAAGGAAAAAGGAGGAAAGGAAAAGTAAAACTCTCTCATTCCGCGTTATTTTCCTTAAAGTAAAATCTCCTTCATCAAGAGCGTGCTTCAAGCTGGCCGAATCCTTAGAAAGATTGATGATCTTGTCTGGTGTTCCGTCAATCCTCAGTCACTCCTCTCCCGTGGAGAACCATGGTTTTTTAAATATGTTTGGTTAATTTCTTGAGCTGGTCATTTACCAATCAAACTGTACATGCACCTTTCCATCAACTTCGGCTCATTTTTTCGTGAGAACAAAGTAAGGTAATATTAACGCGAATAAAGGGGTAAGTTTTTAAAGAAACTGTGGTGCTGCGTCGGTGGGAGAGTATAGCAGGTAATTTAGTGTTGACAACTGGGTTGAAAACGTAAATTAGCCACCGTAAAGAATAACAAACGGACGTTTCGAGCGTTAGCCCTTCGTCAGAGCGATTGGAGGAATTGTGGGTTGTGTGTGGGTTTATATGCAGAAAGCTACACCATTGGTGGGAATATGGTGACGAGAAAACAGGAATAAATTAGTTGAATGAAAAGCGCTCATGGATTCCGTGGGGATTAAGGGTGCCGATTTGGAAGATAAATTTTTGTTCTAGTGTTTTACGGCTTTCCGAACTGCCTAGATGTAAGGAAAGGCCGCAAACTGTCATATGCTGTTTAGAATGATTAGGAAGATTAAAGTATCTAGCGACTGGTTTGGATGCGTCCTTGTCATTTCCTTCCAAGTCGCGAAGGTGTTCTCGGAATCGGTCACCTAGTCGTCTTCCTGTTTCGCCGATGTATAACTTATTGCAATAAGTGCAAGCTCCACTTTCTGCATATAAACCCACACACAACCCACAATTCCTCCAATCGCTCTGACGAAGGA